CACTGTCCCCGCCGTGACCTGCTGAGTATACTTCCTTCACCTCGTGTTTACCGAAGAGGATGGGGATTTGGCCCGTCTTGTTCGCCGCTGTGGCCCCCCAGCACCGAGCACAGCACCCAGCATGGCGTGGTTGCTTGGTAAGTATTTGCCGATATGTGGGAACTAAACGCACCCTCTGAAGTCACCAGTGGTTCCACAGAGAAATCTCAGGGAACCCCAGGGGAGTAAAAATGGAAACACAACCTACCAAAACTCCGTGAAGATGCAGCTAAAGCAGAGCTCAGAGGTAAACTGCTAGTATCTATCCGTAAACGCCTGTTGAGTAAGCGAAGGGAGGAGACTGATCTGCCTAGAACTCCCGGAGGAAGGGAGGGGGGCAGTTAGCAGAGATGGAGGTGACATGGTGGGGGGGGTCCCCAGAAGAGGGAATTTGAAGGGCAGGGATGTTCTAATCCGACCCAAGGGCCAGTGGAAAAATGCCCAAGAGTGGCGGCTGTGGGGAACAGGGAGTAGTACTGGGGGGCAGACCCACTCAGGCTCACCGTATTTCCACTGGGCAACAGGAGGCGTTTCCTCTCCAAGCCCTCAATTAGTGTCTAAGGAGCAGAGAGTCACGGGAGGGTTTTGTGTGGAGAGCGGCATGACTGGGGGTCGGGGGGAGCCCCCACAGCCCCAGTCAGAACGGCCATGTTTACTGTTCAACTGGTCTGAGCTGTAGCCTCACCCTGAGCCTCACAGTGGTCCCGCACTGCTGCTGCGGCCACTTTCTAAGTGGGGAAACTGGCAGGGGGATGCAGAGGGTCATTCCCCCAAGGTCATGCAACCAGTAAAGGGGAGAGCACATATTGGATTCCAGGTCTCTCTGATACCAGGACCTGTGGGCCATTCTGTTGCACCAGAGTTGACTTGTGGTGAAAAGTCTAGCCTGTTAATAACAGTAACAGTGACACAGAATGACAAGGAACGTGAAGTGCTTTCCGTGGGCCAAGCTGTTCTAAACCCTTTACGTGTGTTGACTCAGTGAGTCTTCCTGATAACTCAAGAGCATGGTTACCGTTATTAACTCTGTTTCACAGAAGAAGAGACAGGGCTACAGAGGTCAATGAATCCCTTGAGGTCACCCCAGTAACAGGCTGTAGAAGAGCCAGGAACTGAAGGAATGGGGTTTGAGAGTGTTGCCCACGACAGCATGCCGTCCTTCACTATTCGCTCTCCGAAACAAGGGAAGGCCCCCACTCCACCTTATACTAGAAATAGACTCCACCCCACTGCCGTGCCACCTGGCCCCAGAACTAGCCACCAGCATTCACTGAACACCAACAGGCACTGTTACTAGGTGCTTTATGGCTCTTGTCTGAGACTTCGTAACAGGTTCATAAGCACTGCTATTACTCATTTAATAGACAGGAGGACTAAAGCCAAACCTGTCCCTCCCCTGCTCAGACCCTGCAGTGACACCCATCTCATTCAAAGTCAAAGTCTTTATGATGACCTGCATAGACTCCACGGCCACCTGGCTGCTCCTCCAATGTGCCAACATTCCTGCCCCAGGGCCCTTGCACAGGCTGTTGCTTCCGCCTGGAATACTCTGATTGTTATTTATACACCTCTCTCTCTCCCCCTCACCTCCTCCACGTCTCTGTTCAAATGCTGTCTCCTTGGTGAGGCTCTCCATGACCACTGTAACCTGTCATTCAGACCAACATTCCTGCTCTTCCCAGCCTGCTGCATTTCTGTCTTTCCCTGTCAGCATCACCTAATAAACCAGATATTCTGCTTTTCTTGTTGTCGGCCTCCCCCTGGAGAAGGTGGGCTCCCAGGACCGAGAACAATGTCAGTCTCTGAAAATATATGTGAACTAAGTGAATGAATGGGGCTCGTAAAAGAGGACGTGATTTGTCCAGATATGTGAGCACTGGAGGAACGCAGGACTCACCCCCCCAACCACTTCACTCTTGGGGGGAGCTGGAAAGAGCAGCCCCCACTTGGCCGCAGTTGTCCAGGAGGAACAGGGTTCACACACAGCTGTAACTTTTTGGTGTGTGGCATTTTGAAGCAACAGGATGACCATGGGAATCTTTTGAAGGAGGCCTTCTTCCCTCTCCCCTGCAACTATACCTTGTCTGCTACATTTTCTTCACACAGGTATTTTGTTTTTTAATTGTCCCATGAACTAGCATAGGCACTCCACGAGGGCAGGAATTTTTGTCTATTTTGTTCTCTACTGCGTCCCTAGCCATTCTGTTGCACCGGAGTGTAAGAGGTCCTCATCAAACACTTGTGGAACAAATGAATGAATGAACAAATGAAGACCAGTTTGGGCTTGGTAGAGATGACAAAGGCCAGATAATTGATCACAACGCCCTTACCCCCAAGACCAGGTGAAATCAAACCCTCTCTCTCCTCGTCCTTCTCTTCAGTTTCTCTGCTCCAACCTCACCGGCCTCACCTGGTGCTCTTCCACTCACCATGATCCCAGCCACCTCAGGGCCTTTGCACTTGCTATTCTGGCTACCTGAAACAGTCCACCCAGATCTTTACATGGCTAAGTCACCTCTGCTAATTCAGGTTTCACCTCTGAAGCAGCCCATTGGGCTCTGGGAGAACCCAGAAAACAGCATTTCTCTGATTCACTCGTTCTTGAACCCTCTCCTCAAACTGTAAACCCACAAAATGAATGACTGTATCTCTCTCCTTCACCTGTGTATGCCCTGTACCTGCAACTCTGAATTCATGTATGAATCAATCAGTCAATCAATGCCTAGGTAGAACAGGTCAGGCCATAGGGAGGCTGGGGGTCTCCTCTAGGTGTCCAGGAAGATGAAATGGAGCTGGGCAAGAAGTGGCAGGCGGAGAGTCGCTAGGGCCAGCGAAAGAGGTGCAGCCTCAGTGTGGGGCACTGTTCTGTGAGATCAAGGGCTGAAGACAGGGCTGCCCCAGGTGGGGGAGGGGAGGGAGGCGGGGCACAAGCATTTCATCGGAGCCTGGGGCCCAACCCGCAGCGATTTCTACCTGAAGGGGGAGAGGATGTGGGTGTGAGAGCAAAACTCTAGAGGGAGCTGTTCTTTGGGGGGCGGGGGGCGCGGGGCGATGGCAAGGGGTATTCTCAAGACCTAGGGCGGGTGGCGGGGGGCTACACAAGGACAAAAAGGCATTCTGGGCTGCAGACCAGAACAGAAAGTATTTTTACACGAGGAGGGGGCGGGCGGGGGGCGCAGGACGCGGGGGCTGTGGTGTGTGCACAGAGATCGGGCAGTCCCGCAGCACAGCACTAGCGCAACCCTCTGGAGGCAGCCGGTGGGGGCTATTAACGGAGGGTGGGAGGGCAGTGCTGGGGCGTTCGGGGGGCTGTCCTGCAGGAAGCAACGACGGGGGGTTATGCACAGGCGAGCCTCTGAGAAAGCATTAGTGGGGGCCCTGGCAGCAGTTTCGGGGCTCGCCGCAAACGAGGGCGCTGTGGCAGCCGTCCTGCGTGGGGGCGTTAATGGGGCAGATGTCTGGAGAGGTCTCACGGGCGACCAGTGACTGGGGACCCCTGGCGAGGGCCCGGCGGGAGAGGCACGGACGGGGACGTTCTGCGGACCAGAGCCGGCCAGGGCGGGACCCCCCGCCCCCGTTGCCCCCGGGCCCCCGGGCCACGCGCCCCGTCACTCACCGGCGCAGGGGTCTCCGCCGGGAGGAGGCCGAGGAGGCGGAGGAGGCGCCGCCGCTCCGGGGAGACCCGAGGGCCCGACCGGAAGTGCCGCCCCCTCCCCCTCCCCGGCAGCCCCGCGCCGCCCGCCTGCCCGCCCGCCCGGAAGCGGAAGTCGCGCCAGTCTCCGAGGCGCCGGCGTGGAGGAGCGGAAAGAGGGGGCGGTGGCGGCGACCGGGACGGGGAACTGCGCCTGCGCACTGGCTCGGGGACGCGGACGGGGATAGCCTAGGCCGCTTCCGGTAGCCGAGCTTAGCAACGTGCGCGTGCGCCCTGAGTGTCTGCCTCCTAGGGCACCGCCCACACGCTCCGGTCGTCCGGTGAGGACACGCCCCTCGGCATGCGCCGAGCCACGCCCATTTTCTGGCTTAATTACTTAAGCCCCACCCACTGCCTCAAAATTCCAACCTCCTCGCCCCCGCGCCCATTGCTTCTCCTGCTCTTCCCGACCTCCGGGTCCCCAAGGGCTCCACCTCTCCCTCCTCAGCCTCAGCTCTTTCTTCTAAACCAGCCTTTCGGAGGTCTTTAGGCTGCACCAAGCCCCCCGCGTCAGCCCCGCCCCTTCCCCCTAAGCCCCTCAGTCTCCGGGGTTTCCCTTCCTTACTCCCTTCTTAGGTACGCCCTTTCGCTCCCCTAGGCCTGAGTAAGTCATGACCATCTCTCAGCTCCCGCCTCTCCTAACACCTTGCTCTCCTGAAGTTTCCCCTTGAAACCTCTCCTCTCCTCCTAATAAACCCGACTCATTCCTTCTAAATCGCTCGCACCTGCCGCCTGCCAACCCCTAAAGCAATCCGAGCCCCACCCTAGTTCTCCGCACCTTCCCCTAAGCTCCGCCTACAACCCTCACATACTGCCTTCCCCTCGGTCCCAACCCTGCCTCCTGCTCCCTTAGTCCCGCCCCCTCCTGGCCCCGCCTCTAGCCTACCAAAGTCGTAGGGTCTGCCCACAGCCCTCAACTCCGTATTTCCTTACAGTGTCAGGACAAAGAGATGGGGCACGGTAGTGGGTGCAGGATTTCCAAGAATCTGGCTGGAATGGGGGATGAGGACCTAAAGTCACGTTTGCACAGAGGGGCAGTGTTTTACTCAGAGCCGATATTTACAGGGAGTCCTTTGAGGTCAGCTGGAGACGAGAGAAGGGACAAAGACTTCCTCCAAGACTGCCCTCAGCGCCAAGCGTTGTAACAAGGCACATGACATGGTTTCTCCCAAATTCCATGCACTCCCCGCAGGGTGGCATAGGGAAGGGAAGGCAACGGAAGGAAGGGCCAGCCCTGGTACCGACACTGATTACACACAGAAGCCAGTAGGCAGAGATTTATTTCCAAGGTCCCTGCCCCCAGGGGCCTGTCAGTCCCAGGGAGGGTGGCAGAAGGCAGCAGGACCCAGGAGTTTAGGTCCTCACCCTCGACCCCCTCCCACAACAGGAAGACCACCAGGTTTGAGGGTGTCCCAGCTTTCCTGCCCAGGCTCAGCACCAGCCGAGACCCCAGCTCTACATGTGACCTCGGCAGCGGTGGCCCAGGGTGTGGGTCAAGCCAGCTCTTTCCCCTCCGGCTCCTCCACCTCCTCCTCGGCCCCCGCCGTAGCTGGAATGCCCTCGTCGTCCCACGGCGGTTCGGGCCCTGTGTCCGGGGAACACAGGGGCACCCCCATGGCTTCAGGGTGCTTGCGTTTGGCATGGCGCCGGAGCGTGTTGGCCTCCGTGAAGCGCAGCCGGCAGACAGGGCACTGGTAAGGGCGTTCCCCAGAGTGGACACGGTGGTGGTGGGCCAGCTCGCCTGCCTCGCGGAAGCGGCGAGGGCAGAGAGGGCAGCGGAAGGGCCGGAGGCCGGCATGGATGTTGTAGTGCCGCCGCAGGTGGCTGGACCGCTTGAAGGTCTTGCCGCAATCCTTGCACTCATGGGGCTTCAGCTCTGAGTGCGAGATGCTGTGGCGCTCCAGGTCGGAGAGGTAAGGGAAGGCCCGCAGGCACACAGGGCAGAAGTGCGGGGCCTTCTTAGGGCCAGAGCCCCCAGGCAAACCTGCCGCTGACCCCTCAGAGACCGTATAGGGCACACCCTGATCATCGATCAACAGGAGGTCGCTGCCACTGCCGCCGCCCACAGGGGCTGTCACCCCCTGTGCCAGTGGGGGCTCCTGCCCTGACTTGGTGGGGCGGCCCCGCTTGCGAGGGAGGGTGGCCTTGAGTGTCCGATTCGAGGAGGTGGCCCCCCCGGGACGCCGGCCTCGGCGTCCCCGGGGAACAGGAGGAGGTAAAGCCAGAGGTTTCTCTTCCTCCCCCGGCAAAGGCGAAGGCAACGGGTCTGGGCTGGGGGTGTCCATTGAGCAGTGGGGGGCTTGGGTCTGGGCACTGGAGCCGGGCTAAGAGGAGAGAGGGGGCAGCCGTCAGTGCAGGGAGGGTCTGGAGCATCCCTTGTCCCCCAACACCTCGCCCATCCCTTGGTCTGTGTCTCCTCACCTGGGCATGGTGGACATTCACCTGGACAATTAGAGCCACACTGGTGGGTAAAAGAGCAAGGCAATTCTATACCCGTTGGTACAGAGGTCACACAGGTGTGCCCTAAGCCTCCCTAACTCTTGTCCTAGAAGTTCAGGGTCAACTTGAGCCAAAAGAAAAAAAAATCTTCATGGGAGAATAGAATAGAGTCCAACTAAGGGTAGGGGCCAGTATTTCGATCCTCAAAGCAAAGAGCCCACTACACGTGAGCCATGGAGGCCCAGAGATGTTTTGTGCCGCTTCTGATTGGCAGAGTGAGAGGAGTGGGAGTTCAGGACTAGAAGAAGAAAGGGACTGGTCGCAGCTGAAGTTTGGCTCCGAGTCATGGATGAAGAAATGTGCCAGCACTGTTAAGTGTGGGCTCCCAAGTCAGAGTTCTGAGTTCAGTGCCGAGGTCTGCCGCTCAGTCTCTGTGTGCTCTGGGGCAAAGTGCTCATCTCTCTGAGCCTCAGTTAAGCCTTTTGCAAAACAGGACGAATGCTTGCACCTATTCACACAGACATGTCATGAGGATAACACACAGAGTGCTCAGTGAACACCAGTGCCTCGAGATATCCTGGTGAGTGGCTAAGCTTCACACCAACCCTCTGAATAATGGTACATCACCCCCACTTTGCAACTGGGGAAACGGAGGCACAGGAAAGCCAAGTCAGTTGTCCAAGCCCTCTCTGCCAGGAAGCAGCAGGACCAAGACCCAAACCAGATCTCAAGGACCCCAACGGTCCAGGGAGTGAAAAGACATGGACCCAAGGAGACAAGGGGACCTCATGGAGTCCCTTACACCTGGGGCAGACTCCAGCTCTGCCGCTAATGAACAAGTGACTTTGCTTCTCTGGGCCAGTTTCCACCTGGGTCAAACAGATACAGCAGTGTTGTTGGTTAGTAATAGTAAGCACTCAATAAACTACCGTCATCGCCACCACCACCACCACCAGACCCACCACCTCCGTCATGTCATTGGAGCCTGGGACCACGAGACCCAGCTAGGGTATCCTGAAGGGGAGCGGTAGGAAGGCAGACGCGCCGCTAACAGCCGGGGCTGCAGGTGCCAGCGCACCCCCTTGGACCGGGCACACAGACTGAAGGCCAGAGAGGGGCCCCACTTTTCCACGATCACGAGGTTCGCTCCGCTGGGAGGGCCTGGACTAGAACCCGGGTCTCTGGAACAGTGCCCTCGCCCCTTGCCCCTCCGCTACCCCTGTGCAGGCGCGCGCCCGCCGGCCCGAGCGCGCGGGGCGGGCCCTGCGGGGGCGGCGGCCAATGAGCGGCGCGCGGGCCGCAGGACGGCGAGGGCCGCCAGGAAGGGGGTCTGCGCGCGCGCGCCCGGGCCGACTCCGCGGGGCGCGAGGTCGGCGCGCGCGCTGCGGCGGGCGCGGAAGCAGGTGTGGGGGCGCGCTCCAGGAGCGCGCGGCCCCGGGCCTCCCCTCCCTTTGCTCCCCTCTCCCCGCCCGGACCCCCGCCTCTCGGGTACCTCATTTGCATGTCGCCTGGGCTCGCGAGTGTGCGCGCGCGGGGGCGACAGGGCCGGCGCGTGGGAAGGGGGCGGGGGCCAGGGGGCCCTGCCCCTCGGCGGCGCGCGCGGGGACGGCCCCGCCCCCTCCCTCCCCCCCCCCTCTCCGTCGGGCCCGCGCCCGCGGGAGACAAAGAGGACGCGCTGGGTCCTAAGGACCGGTCATGTACTCGCAGAGAACACGCGCCTGCGCGCCCGTCGCCCTCACTGGCCCCGAGCTGGAAATAACCCCACCAACACATTCCCAACCACGCAGAAATGTCTTTCCTCCCACACAGCACCCAGCAGGGTGACCCAATCAAAGACAGGTACCGCAAGGATGAGGAGCGGGAAAATGGCTGCTTGTTCCCGTAATTAACATGGCGCCTGATAGGCTTCAAAGCCCCCCGGAGGGAGGACAAGATGGAACCTGCCCTTTCCTCCGAGCTCTACCACAGTGGCCGAACTTCGATTTTCCTTTTATCCTGACGCAACTCTACCAGGAAGATTCGGAGGCTGCGAAAAGGGAATCAAGTCTGCCGTGATTTACGTTAACACCCGTCAGGGCAGGCACGGAAGGGGAAGAGGCCGAGCGGGGAGCTTGTTGCCCTTAGTCTGTATGGCGCCGGGCGTCACCCTAGGCCCCGCCCCCACCCTGCCCTCACCCAACATGGCGCCATCCTAGCTTCTCCAACCTCCAGTGCTAGGGGTTGGGACGGGAAACGGGGAAGGGCGGGCGGTGGGGGTGGGGGGAAGCCAAGGGGGCGGGAGAAAGGAGGAGTGTGGGGGAGAAGGGAGCCGAGGCGGAAGTCGAGGGGCCCCCGGGTGGAAGTGACGCTGCCCCCGCTGCCCAAAATGTCGGCGCCCAGAGGGAGGTGTAAGTAATTAAAGAGAAAAGCCGACTGACTTTCCCGGCCTCCTGGGGCCGCCCCAGGGCTCTAGAACCCCGGCTGCGAACGAGCGAGGTGGACTCGCCCGGCTGCGGGTCCCGCCTGACCTGCTCCCGCCCCGGGTGCCCCAGGCCGCACCTTTTAGGGACAGGGGGGAGGGGCACAAAAGGCCGGTACTCGGGGCCTCAGTCCCAGAGCCGACTTGGGGGGGGGGCGGGAAGCCCTGCAGGCGACTTGGTGGGAAGGAGGCGGGGCTTCGTGGTGGCAGGGGCGGAGCAATAGCAGGGAGGAGCTTCCTAGTGGGCGTGGCTTAGAATGGAAATGGGCTGGGCTTGAAGGATGGAAGAGACCTACTTGGAGCTGAGTGGGGAAATGGGGCTCTAGGCGAAGGTGGGCGCAGCTTAGGGTAGAAGGGGAGTAGCTGGTCTAAGAGTAGGCACGGTGAGGTGATGGGATTGAGGTGTGCAGTTTGGCGAGTCTTAGTGGAAATAATAAGCCTTCATAATGTAAGTGCGGTGACTTAGGGGGGGAGGGGCTCCCAGGGGAAGGCTGAGAACAAGGGGTTGAGGGGAGGGTCTTGCAAAGGACGGGGCTTCCTTCCAGGCTAGGTTTCAAGGAAAAACGAGTGAGTGGCGTTTTGGAGGCAGACCTTAGCGGAGAAGAAAGAGATGGTGGGACGTAGGAAGCTCAGATAGCGGTTAGTAGTAATCAGAGCAGCTTGCCTGTAGAGCCCTTGCTGTGTGCCCTGCCTGAGTGAGCGCGCGGTGTGCACTGCCCCAGTTTTGCTTAGTCCTCACCTCCGCTCCCTGAGGTAGGTACTCCCGTTCTCCCGCACTTGCACATGGACAGAGGCAGGAGGTTCCAGGACCGGTTATGGTCGCCCTGAAAGGTTGACTCAAGTGCACTTGGCCCCAAATCTCTGTCCTCTCCTTCCCTAGGAATGTGAATCTTTATCTGAAGATGATCTTCCCTCTTGAAGAAGAGTGGGAGGGCCTTTCAGAGGGGAAGGGTCTTGTCGAGGAATACGAGAGGCTTCGGGCACAGTGTGGGGACTTTGGGAGGAGTAGGTGGGGCGAACAGTGGGCGGGGTTTAGAGAGGAGTGGGGAGTCCATCGGAAAAGAAGGGGAGAGGCTTAAAAACGGCCCAGTAGAGTAGAAGCCACCTGGCGCTGATTACGAAGATTGCCAGAGGAGCGGGAGAAGGGTTTGTAGGAGAGTGGGAGGGGCTTACAGGATGGTGGGTGTGGCTTGGAGGGAAGTGGGAAGGGTTTCCAGGGGACAGAGGGTGGGTGTGAGTCCAGGGAGCCTGATGGAGAGGGCTCCTGGGACGCTGACTCCACCTGCCCTCCATGTCTCCTCCCTGCTCCAGAGAGAGCCTCCATTCGCCACTGCCTTCCCACCACGCCATCATGGCTGATACCCCGCTGCCAGTGCCCCCGGTCCCTGCCCCGGCCCCGGCCCCAGCTCCTCCCGCTGCTGCTCCCCGGGTTCCGTTTCACTGCAGTGAGTGTGGCAAGAGCTTCCGCTACCGCTCGGACCTTCGGCGTCACTTCGCCCGGCACACTGCCCTCAAACCCCACGCGTGTCCACGCTGTGGCAAGGGCTTCAAACACAGCTTCAACCTGGCCAACCACCTGCGTTCGCACACCGGCGAGCGGCCCTACCGCTGCTCTGCCTGCCCCAAAGGGTTCCGAGACTCCACCGGCCTGCTGCACCACCAGGTGAGTCCCGCAGGCTGGACCCGGGCTGGCCTCCCCAGGCTGGACACGCGCTTGGAGCCACAGGGCTCCACGCTGGGCAGCAAAGAGCGCTGTGATCTCTGATTTAGCCTCACAGTTCTCCAGGAAGGCACCGCCAGTCTAAAGGACTCATCGCTCAAACTGTCTCTGCGACTCCCAAAGGCCAATGTCTGTAAAGGCACAGTCTTGCACCGTACACGGGCCAGATTTCAAGTGCCCAAGAGCCATAAGTCGCTGGTGGCTGCCACATTGGTCAGTGGCAGATAGAAAACATTCCCATCATTGCAGAAAGTTCTTTTGGACAGTGTTTGCTCTAGAGGTTTGGAGAGCAAACCTTGAAAAGCCACCTCCCACCCTAGGGGATTATAAAAGCTCCTCTCCACCTTTTCCCAACATCCACTGCCAGAGAGGACATCAAAAAGTTTGTCAGCCATAATTCTAATTTCTAGGAATTGGGTCGTTCTTTAGTGATGATTTTACCCTATCGTCCCAAGAACCCTGTGAGGTGGTAGTCTTATTGTGCCCATGTTACAGAGGAGCAAAGCAGAGTCCCAGAGATGATGTTTACTTGTCCACTTGTCACTGAGCGTGAAAGGCAGAGCTGGGATTCGAACCCAGGTTTGTTAGTGCTAAGAGCTCTAGTATTTGGCCACTCTCCCAGGGAGTCCCAATCACCTAGGTGGGCTTCTTGGAAATGAGTAAGTGTTAGTCCAGAAGACCAGGAGGGAGAGAGAGTCTTCCACCTTAAGGAACAGCATGTGCAAACGTCCTGAAGAATGAAAGGAGCGAAAGAATGCCAGCATGACCCAAATTAGAGAAGACAAGTGAGAGGGTCGGAGCCAGATGGGGCTTTGCAGACACGGCAGGAGCTTCCGCCGAGTCCTTCCAGGAATGTAGGGACGGCAGGCTAGACCGTCAGCCCTGATCCCTGATGCTTTGCTCTCCCTCCCGCCCTCCCAGGTCGTCCACACTGGCGAGAAGCCCTACTGCTGCCTCGTCTGTGAGCTCCGCTTCTCCTCGCGCTCCAGCCTGGGCCGCCACCTCAAGCGCCAGCACCGCGGAGTGCTCCCGTCCCCGCTGCAACCTGGCCCAGGCCTGCCGGCCCTGAGCGCGCCCTGCTCCGTCTGCTGCAATGTGGGGCCCTGCTCAGTGTGCGGGGGCGCGGGGGCCGGTGGTGGCGAGGGCCCAGAGGGGGCAGGTGCGGGCCCGGGCAGCTGGGGGCTGGCAGAGGCCGCCGCCGCGGCCGCCGCCGCCTCGCTGCCCCCCTTCGCGTGTGGAGCCTGCGCGCGGCGCTTTGACCATGGCCGCGAGCTGGCGGCCCACTGGGCGGCGCACACCGACGTGAAGCCCTTCAAGTGCCCGCGCTGCGAGCGCGACTTCAACGCCCCCGCGCTGCTGGAGCGGCACAAGCTGACGCACGACCTGCAGGGCCCGGGCGCGCCCCCCGTGCAGGCCTGGGCCCCGGGGGCCAGCGCGGGGCCCGACCCGGCCGGCGACGTCAGTGGTGCGGCGGAGGCGGGCGATGCCCAGGCGGCCTGGGACGGCGGGCTGCTCCTGGGCCGCGCCGGGGGCGGCGTGCCCGAGCTCGCGGGGCTGCTCCCGGAAGGCGGCGGGGAGGCTCCTGCCCCAGCGGCCGCGGCCGAGGCGTCGGAAGACACCCTGTACCAGTGCGACTGCGGGACCTTCTTCGCGTCGGCCGCGGCGCTGGCCAGCCACCTGGAGGCCCACTCGGGCCCCGCCACGTACGGCTGCGGCCACTGCGGGGCCCTGTACGCGGCGCTGGCGGCCCTGGAGGAGCACCGGCGGGCGAGCCACGGCGAGGGCGGCGGAGCAGAGGCGGCGCCCGCGGCCTCGGAGGGGGAGCCCGCGTCCGGCGAGGCCGCGTCCGGCTCCGGCCGGGGCAAGAAGATCTTCGGCTGCTCCGAGTGCGAGAAGCTGTTCCGCTCGCCGCGCGACCTGGAGCGCCACGTGCTGGTGCACACGGGCGAGAAGCCGTTCCCGTGCCTCGAGTGCGGCAAGTTCTTCCGCCACGAGTGCTACCTCAAGCGCCACCGGCTGCTGCACGGCACCGAGAGGCCCTTCCCCTGCCACATCTGCGGCAAGGGCTTCATCACGCTCAGCAACCTCTCGCGGCACCTGAAGCTGCACCGCGGCATGGACTGACGCCGCAGGCCGCCCTGCTGCCCTGCCGCCCCGCCTCGGGGGCCGCACTCGGGGCCCGGGGATCTGCACTCAGGGCCCGGGGCCAGATCCCCGGGCCCCGCCATCAGGGGACCCTGGCTGGAGCTAAGGGGCCACCAGACACTTGCACGGGCCCCTGAGCTGGGGGCAGCAAACAAACCGGGGAGACTCCTCAGCTGCGAGGTCCGGGACCTAGGAAGAGACTCCTGAGCGCCCCGAAATCAAAAGGCCTCCCCGAGTGCTGGGGACGTAGCAATGAGATGTGGGTGTCTGCAAGTACTTCTCATCTTGAGGACCCTAGTGATAAGAGATGGGCATCCTTCCCCCAAGGAAGACTGCCCCTCTCCCCAAGAGCCATCATTCCCAACGACCTTGATCTGGAGAATGTGGGGGAACCATGTCCCTGAATTTCCCTGGATCCCCCCAAATGCTACCCACCAGTCACTGGTGCCCTCCAAAAATGGATAGAGCCGAAATCTGCCTTCCCCCCCACCCACCCCATTTCATTCCTTATGCTGAAAGAGGACCAGGGTAGATGCCCCTGCCCTGAAAACCCCTCCCCCAATTAGGTCTCCCTCCCCCAGGGCAGAATGGATCCACCCTAATGATCTTCCCCATCCCAAACACTAGAATAGGCTGGTTTGAAATCCCTCCTGCCCAGTAGAATGAACTGAATCAGATACACACCCCTGTCCACTGGAATGGGCTGGTCTAGACTGTGGCCTGTACCCCACCCTCCGTAGGCCGATATGGCAGACACTCCTCCCTCCCTCTAGAGTGCCGGCCAGTCCCCATCATTCCCTATCTGAACTCATCCGAGTGGGAAGTGGTGGACTCTGGGGCTTTCCTCCCGCTCTGCTGTAGCACCTGTCTTTCCATCTCTGTTGGTTTGTCTGTCTCTGTGTTCCCTCTCAACCCCAAGGGGAAGGGGGGCTTGGCTAGGGGGTTCCCCCCTGTGAGCCTCGACCTTGCCCCTCATCCCACTCCCTAATGTCTCCAGGGCCCCAATAAACCTTGTCCTGTCAGTCACTGCCGTCTCGTTTTCTGATCCTTGGCTCCAGAGAGGTGGGGGCTTTTCTCCCTGACTTAGGATGAGCTCCCTAAAGAGAAGCAGATCTTTCCTCCCTCCTGACAAATGTTGAGTCCCTTAGATACTGCACGACCATTAAAATCAGAAATGGCTTAAGTTTCATCTCAGTGGAACTCTGTCCCTTAAACACGAGATCCACCTGCAGTGGACTGAATGTGCCCTTTAGAACCAGACACGCCCTTTAGACACCATCAATCCCATCAGACAGGCCCCCTAAAAGCCAAAGTGTCTCCTTAAAGAAAAGTTCTACCCCTAAGGAGAGACCCTAAAGCTTAGACCCTGCCTCCAGGTGACCAAATGTCTACATTAGACACTGTATGCACCCCGGGGGGTAGGATTCACCTGTCTGGGCGGAGTCAACCATTCCTCTTCTTCTAGGCACTAGATTACGTTCCTGTCCCGAGGGCTGCTCTGTGTCGGGCATTGTAATCCTTTCTGGGGATCCAGCAGTGGAGAAAAGAACTCAGGGGAGAAAAGAACTTATGTTTTGGTGTTTGGGTGGTGGGGTGGAGAAATGTAAAGAAACAGAAGTAATTTCAGGTGGTTCTGAGCATGCTGAAGGAGGGGAGGAAAGGTGTTAAGAAAGCGAGTGACCCCGTGAGCATGCCTTTCAGTTCAGGTGTCCCGTGGACATCTCTCCAGAGGCGGCATCTGATCTGAAACCCGAGGGGTGCTGAGAGACCAGAGAGCGGATGGGCCCCGAGGGGGGAGAGGTGAAGGGAGGGGGAGGGGTCAGGTCCCAGAACCCGGTGAGGCAAGAGAGGCATTTGGCTGTGCTCTCCAGGCAATCGAACACCAAGATTTTAATGTTGGAGGATTTGGCCACACCTGCACTTTACAGAGTTCCCTCTGGCTGCTGAGTCCAGAAGGAACTGGAAGCAGCAGGAGAAACGCGTAGGAGCCTGGACCGGAGTGGTGGGGAGATACAGGTGGATTCGAGATGAATTCCGAAGGTGGAATGTGAGTGTGTGTGTGTGTGTGTGTGTGTGTGTGTGTGTGTAATTGAAAGAGCTCAGGAGGGACTGGTTAGGTGGTAGCAGTTTGTGTTAAGACCAGAAAAGGGGAAGAACAAGTTTTGGTGGGAGCTTAGGGGGATCAAGAATTCCATTTTGAGCTTCTTAAATTTAAGATGCCTGGGAGATTGGCAAGCATTAATATGGCTGAAGGTGTGCGTGTCCTGTGATACCGCGATCCCACTGCTAGGCACGGACCCTAGAGAAACTCCTTCACCTGCACTAGGAGACACACTTAAACATTCCCAGCAGCAATCTGTACGGCCTCAAACTCTGAACAACTGATGTGTCATTGCTGTTGTCCAAATGTTTGTGTTCCCATCGAAATTTCTATGTTGAAATCCCAACCCCCAGTGTGACGGTGTTTGGAGATGGAGCTTTGGGGAGGTGCTTAAGTCTTAGTGCCTGGGACCAGCGCCTCCTCTGAAAGGCTCCAGGGAGACCCCTAGCCCTTCTCACCCTGTGAGGACACAGCAAGAAGCACCGGCCGTAAACCCAGAAGAGCGCCTCCCCCAGAAGACAAGCATGAGGGTGCCTTGATCTTGGACTTCCAGCCTCCAGAGAACCGTGAGCGATAAATTTCTGTTGTTCATAAGCTGCCAGTCCATGGTGTTTTGTTAGAGCAGTCGGTACAGACTAAGACATCCGTCAACAAAAAACAGATAAATAAATGGTGGCATATTATGCTGTGGGTTACTATACAGCGTGAAATAAAGGGGTGTAGATACACGCAGTCCCATGAATGAAAGTTACAAAGAAGCCCAACGCCCGAAGCCCAACACAATGATTCCGCTTATAAGCAAAACTAAACTATAATAGTGTTTAGGATGTATTGTGGCTAGTGTGCTACCTAGAAAAGCAAGAAAACCTTCTCGAGGTTGGATAGGTTAAGCTCGGAATGGGGCTTGCCAAGCCTTCTGTGACTCTGGGGCAGCTAACATCCCGTTTCTTAATCTGGCGATCTCTTGATAATTATTTATTAGCTGTGCGTCTGTGTCGTGCCCTTCTAGCTTATGCGCCTTCTATTTCACAAGAAAAGAATTTAGAGGAGGGAGACGTATATTTGGGGGGAGAGAAAACAAGAAGACATGTTTGCCTGGAGATGCACGGTTGCCCATCTGAAGGCTCCAGGTCAGCTCCTGGGGACGCTCAACCTTAGAGATAACTTCCTCTCCGCTCTCCCACCCAGAAACCAGGAAACAGACTCATGCCCTGGGCAAAAACCAAAAACCAAAAAAACTGTCTTGGAGCAACAAGACCCGCCCCCTTCGATTCAGGCACCGCCCCAGGGGCATGAACCACCTACTTCCAGACCTGCTCTGCCCGAGCACCGACGGTCTGGAAGCGAGCCAGGGTTGTCATGGAGATGGCCGCAGGCTAGGGATTAATGAATAGAGACCTCGGGAGGCTGAGGTTCCGCCTACCTCACCTCCAAGCCAATCTTTTCTCTTCTGGGACAAAAGCGACAGGGACTCACCCATCTCCCGCCGGCCTCCCAAGGGCCCGGCGCAGGGCTGGACGTCAGACCTGACTCATCTCACTGTGGCCCCATTTTATAGATGTGCTCATGGAGGCTCCGAAGGGGTGGGAAGGATTTCACTCTGGGGGCGATCTCAGCCTCTCCAGGGCGCCAATTACTGGGCTGAAGCTGACGACTCTGGCGTGTCTGCTGGAGGAGCTGACTCTCGCCGCTGACCTGTCCAGCCAGCCACCCGCACGCTCAGCTGAGCTCCGCATGGCCCCACCTCCTCAGCCTTCTCCCTTCAGGGCAGTCACCTTCTCCTGAAGCCCCAGCCTCACCCCTCCTCACTCTTCATCCACTTTTCTGAGCGCGGCTGGTTGCTGACAGGTGAGCCTTTAAGCAAACCGGCGAAGCCGACCCCTGCGCTCAGGAACTTATATTCCAGGGGAGGGGAGGTAGGCAATCAATGGGTAATCCACGAGGAGCCTCCGGCTTGTTCGCGATAAGTACAGTTGGAAAATTAAGGCAGAGTGAGGACTATAGGGAGACGGGAGGCTGTTTTAGCTGGGGGCGGGGGGCAGGAGAGCTGTCTCTGAGGACGTCTGGAAGAAAGTGAGGGGAGTAGGGTAGAAGGGACACTTGATGGAAATCTAGGGGGAAGGGCACTCTAGGCAGGGGGGAAAGGCACTTTCAAAGGCCCTGAGTCCACCAAGAGCAGAGAGGGGGTGGTGTGGCTGGACCGGAGTGAAGCAGGAGAGGTAGTCACCAGTGGAGGGAGGCTCCAGGGGCCAGACCCATCGAGCCTTACAGGCAGGGGTGAGGAACACCGGAGGAAGGGCTGGGAAGCCACGGGAGGTTCACAGGATGCGCTTTCTGCGTGCGAGAGGCTGGCCGCGGTAGGGGCGCGGGGGGGGGGGGGCAGGAGAGCCAATGAGGAGGCAGTAGCAGGGGGACTGGCACCCAGGAGTGCAATCCGGAGCCAATCAGCGCTAGGTCCCGCCCCCTGCTCGGGCCCACGGCCCGGCCCCGAGGAGTCCTGCACTGCCCAGGAACCCTGTCTCACCTGGGCCCGTTCCCCGCCTCCTCCCTGCTCTCAGCCTAGGTCTCCCCTGCATCCGGCCCAGCCTCCACGCGGGTCCCACAGGAATTTCTCTAAAACACTAATCGGATCATGTGACTCTCCAGCTTAAAACCTTTTCAATGGCTTCTCAGCGCACCAGGAACGCGTCCAGCATTCCGCTTGAACTAAGAGGCCGGCACAGCGGCTTGTGCAGCTCCCGGCCTCTCTCCACGACACTCCCGCCTTTGATGGCCCAATCCAAGGCCTGGAGTCTCCCCCAAGACAAGATCTCCCTCCCCATCCCCCTCTTCCCTCTGCTTGAAATTTTATTTCCCACCATTCCATTCCTGAATTTTCCTTATTTCCTTCCTGCCTGCCTTCCTTCCTTCCTTCTTTCCTTCCTTTTTTTGGAAAAAAAATGTTAAGCTTTTAAAATACAGATAATGAAATAACAACCCCCCAACCCCACCCGGTATACACTCAGAAGAACTGAAAACAATCGTCCAAACACTTACACACGAACATTCCTAACAGCACTATTCACAATAGCTGAGAGGTAGCAAGAAGCCATATATCCACGGACAAATGAATGGGCACAATGTAGTGTACCCACACAGTGGAATATTACTCAACCAGCAAAAGGAATGACGTCAGGATCCATGCCACAACACAGATGATTCTGGAAAACACGCTAAGTGAAAGAAGCTGGTCATAAGAGGTTACCTATTATATGACTCAGCTGACATGAAATGTTTGTCATAGGCAAAGCTGATTATTGGTTGTCAGGAGCTGGAAGGAGAAGGACATGGGGAGTGACAGCTTAACAGACCTAGATTTCTGTTGGGGAAGATGACAAAGTTCTGAAACTAGACAGTGGGATGGTCACATGACATTGAGAATGTACTTAATGGCACTATTATTGCCCCCCACGCCCATGTACTGCCTACCAGCTTTAAAACATCAGAGGTTTACTTACCTCACTCTCCGTTGGCCCCTTTAGGATCTGATCGCTTCTCCCTGCTACAAGGTAACTCTTACCATGAATTTGGTGCTTATTGTTTCATGGATATTTTTAGACTTTCACTCCTACATAAATATCCTTTGAAAATTAGTACTATTGGGGCACCTGGGTGGCTCAGTGGGTTAAAGCCCGCATCGGGCTCTCTGCTCAGTGGGGAGCCTGCTTCCCTCTCTCCTCTCTGCCTGCCTCTCTGCCTACTTGTGATCTCTGTCTGTCAAATGAATAAAAAAAAAAGTCATGCTCTTTGCCTGTCGTTTCTCCCATCTCTTTGTGAAATGCAAAGGCTCACTGAGACGCACCAGCTTCGACATGTTTTAGTTCCCCACTTTGCTGCTGTTTAAACTGAGAATAGCGTGACCCACTCCATAAAAGGAGAGACAAAT